GACGAAAATCACGATAAAACCTCATTCGGGAGACTCGGTGTCGTATTGTGGATTCAAACACATAGATGTATTAGTTCCTCAGAAGGTTGTTTAGGTTCCTTACGTAGGACTCTTTATGTCATTTAAGTTAGCAAACTGCTTGATGAACTAGACTTTAATTGTGCTTTGTTCTACATGTAAGTTACATAAAACTGCAAGCCAGCGCCACAGCTCAAGCGGTTAGTCACTGGCTTCCCACCGCGGCGGCCCGGGTTCAAACCTGGGTCTCGTCAAGTGGGATTTGTGGTGGACAAAGTGTCACTGGGGTAGGTTTTCTCCGAGTACTTCGGTTTCCCCTGCCAATCTTCATTCCACCAAATTCTCCATCATATTCACTCGGGGCAGGTACAATATGCCAATCAGTGGCCGCCGTGCCGAGTGGACCCAAATGGGCCCCACCCCCCACTAAGCGAATTAAAAAAATTACATAAAACTGCAGAAATTCTTAAAAAGTGAGAAACCATCGTCATTTCCCTCTTAACGTTTGTGACAGGAGTAAACATCAGTGAAATCTCCGTAGAGCGTTTTGCCGGTTATCTTCCTTCGTCTTACCCAACAATGGTTACGTAATTCATTATAACAAGCATATTTGCTCTTTACAACACGCACTGAGGCCCTCGTCCTTGACCGCAAACGTTTCTGTCGCCACAAATTTCGCTTCCTTCCACATGATGCCCTATCGCATTGCAGTAGGTTTGATGGGAGATGTTTATGTTAAAACGCTGAGTGGATATCGACAGAATTTGGTATTTGGATTCTACAGTAACATATGAAGACAGCTACCTCTCTGAATGTGACGCCATATAGTGTGGTAGAATGTTACCGACGTTTCGGCGAGTGTGCTGCTCTATCTTTAAGGTTGACCATGGAAGCAGAATATTCCTTCAAAACGTCGGTAACGCTCTACCGGATTATACGACGTCATATCCCAGAAGAATGCAATATGCAGGGTCACCGGTAATCTTGCTTGCAGTAAGTCATTACGGGAATGCTGTATTGAGTGACATTGGATTATTAAGCCATTCAGTCTTAACAGATTTAATAAAACAGGACATGTTAGATGTATGGCTTTACAGGTTTCAGCCCCTTGGGGCACCCTCAGAGGCTTGAAAATAAATGGAAATTAGCTCTTTACCTGTAAATCTTAAAATGTAGTTCACAGTTACAAGTTCTACAGCTTTTACAAAAGTTTATTTCTTAAAATCTTTTACAGTAAGAGTTTAGTTCATTAGGTCTTCTTTGTATACAGCGCACATGCGCTGCTTCATGTCCTATCTTCTGTTTTTTGGGTGATGACAAGTGCTGTGTGGTATTGTTTGTTAAAGCGTCTGCAATTACAAAGTGCGAAAGTTATTTTGCTGTTCATAATTTTGTTTTGTCAGACATTAATACATATATAATATGATTAATACAGATGAGTAGTAAACTCCCCTAGGTCCTGTAGGATACGTCTAGTATCGGTGTATATACAGGGCTGGAGGTTGCTGAGGTGGTCTGAAGGGTGTCGTATGATGTTGGATGTATTTGATGTGCTTTCTGTACATTAAATCTCTATGAAAGGGACAGTTTGTTTCCTCTGTCTGTTGTTATTCTACCAATAAATTTAGTTTGTATGTAAATAAACAGAGAAGTTTAACACACAGCTAGTTACTACAATTAATTAAAACGCCATCACTGATCTCCACATTTTACAGATCACTAGATTATACAGACTTGTGTTCTTAGTCTGTTACAGTCTCCACTGGTCGTTTCCTGGTAATAGCTTCTAACGGCGGAGATTCTTCAACTGCACAGACAGAATCTTCTTGTCTCAGGTTCCCTTACAATTAACTGTCTTCCTTAAAACAGAACTAACTTCTAAACATGTCTCGGTTATAACATCTCGGCTCGGAACAACAGAAAACACAGCTCCTCTATTGTTACTTAGAGCGTGTCAGTGGAAACGTGTTTTTTTTTTTTTGCGAAGGCGTTGCCTAGTAACAGCTATGGTATATTTGCTTATCTCGCAGTCGTTGCCTAGTAACGGCTCTATAATTACAATATTATCATTCACGGCACGAAAAACCCAATTAGATGAGATGGCAGCTCTTTCTGTTACTAATGAGATGTGCTTCTCATATAATCAGGCCTTTGTTAGAAATTAAAAATGCATCAATATAAACTGGTCCGGTCTAGAAAACCGAGATTAACGGCCGTGGAGATCCGTTGCGCTGACCACGTGACACTCCCTATTCTCAAAATTTTCCACTAACTTCGTCGACAAGCGGCGGTCGTTCGGTCGGTATAGTTCGCTTGCGGACTACAGGCCACGGATCAAGAGAAACTGGAACATTTATTTCTCATTTAAAAAAAGTCTTGTAAACTGATTTTTCAAAGGGGTCAACAGAAGATTATAATTATCTTGCGATTACCTTGGTATCAGCCATGTCGGTTCCTTTGGGAATACACAGTCCTCAATTTTCCATTGTTTAGCTTCAGGGAAAGCAGTCCAATGAAGGACGAAATTGCTACAATTTTTAGTAACGGAATTTAATTTCCTAATGATAAATCATATAGCAGTTTTGTTTTTCTAGACCAATTTAAACATTTGACTGTACTGAGCATAAAATACTCTAACATAAATTGCATGTGTATGGGACACATTGCTATTACATTCTTATCACGCAAATATGATACGGATAGTGAAAATAGTTATTAGGAGGATAATAATTGGAAATTTTTTCTCTCAAGCGGTTTTCCAGTCCGGTACGGACTTCTGCAGGGCTCCATACTAGACCCCTTACTTTTCATAATAATGTGTTTGTTATATCTCTAAATTACATAGGGATATGACAATTACCGTATTTACGCATGTATAGGCCGCACATTTTTTGCCAAAATTTCAAGAGGAAAACTGGGGTGCGGCTTATATTCGAAATCACACACATTTTTTTCGTCAACGTCGAATTTTCTCCCTGCTGCTCGATTTCCGTGTTCTTGTGCGTAACGCACCACTTGAAGTTTAAATTTAGACGTATAACCTGCTCTTACTCGACCCATGTTTCACTCAGAACTAACCAGGCAAGTCAAGTAAAGGCGAAAAGGTTATAACTCTCCCCCGCAATGCCTTTGTTCCGAGCGGTACCGTTATTTTCGCTAGTTGCGAACTTAGGAATGTTAAACGTTGCCAAATTTCGGAATAATTTCTACTCCTGAAATAATATTCCAAGAAAATTATTTTTTCTATAATTTCTGTCTGAAAATTGTGCTGCGGCCTATACACGCACGCGGCCTATATGTGCGTAAATACGGTATATATGCTGATAATATTTCTGTTCTATTTTCTTCTTTTTTCCTCAACTCTGAATGTGGAGGCGATATGTTCCTCCGAAACGTCAGTTAACACAATATCTATACGGCGCCACATTCCAGAAAACTACTTTCTTCTAAATAAAGCATGTTTTCCTTCGAAAAGTAAGCTCAAGCAGTTTCTTATGAATGGATATTATTGCTCAATTAATGTCATTATCAGTATCACTGCTAATTTCACTGATGGTTGAGATTATCACTTTCACCTTACATTTTTTACTTCAATCTTGATACGTAATGTTTCTTCGATGTTACGGAGCTCAGTTTTCTGTTTGTACTTTGTATTTACTTTTAATGACATGTATTACTTTCAGCTGATGTTTCCTTTGCTTTGTGTATCTCTCTGTAGCATGTTACATGCTTATTGTACTATTTCTGCCCTTGTATAACACACAAATTACCTATAACACTGTGTAATGGTAGCAGAATGAATACATAATGACAGTAGTGTTGTTCACAGAGATATTGCGTTTACGGACTTTATCCATCGTCCTGGTTTTTAAGATAACTAAGAAAAACACGACGTTTCGGAAACTGGATCTGTTTCCGTCCTCAGGTGAGGACCAGTGGACCAGTGATTGAGGCTAGCTCTTTCTAAGGGACCCAACAGAATAGGTGTTTTCCCTCATCTGAGGACGGAAACAGAGCCAGTTTCCAAAACGTCGTGTTTTTCTTAGTTATCTTAAAACCAGGACAATGGATAAAGTCCGAAAAACCAATATCTCTGTGTGTTATACACCATCGTCAGAATCCTATAGTAACTAATAGTGTTGAAGAAAGCAGTCTTCCGGGATTTGGCACCGTGTATATGTGGTGTTAACCGACGTTTCGGAGGAACGTATCGCCTCCATCTTCAAGGTAGAAGGGTTCACAGTCTGCTTTTACCGGTTCTCACGGTCTCTTCGCTTGCAGATTTCTTATATTTTTTCTTCTACCCTGAAGATGGAGGCGATACGTTCCTCCGAAACGTCGGTTAACACCACATATACACGGTGCCAAATCCCAGAAGACTGCTTTCTTCATAGTCACCGCCGTGAAAGCCTCAAATCTTACAACTAATAGTGCTGTTGTTGATGATTATGATAGAGGTTGTGGTGGTGGTGATGATAAATACACTGCCAGTTAGCTGTAAACAATTAAGAAATATTTTCGAATCAATTTACGTGGCAGCAATAGATGTGTTCAAGAACCTGGAAAACTTTCTGCCATTTTTTCCGTTTCGAAAAATAGGATAAAAATTGTCATATTTGAAAACCTTCATGACGACCGAATCGTTATGGTCTGATCTTGACCTTTCGGGTTGTGCCATCTTCCATTCAACATAAAACGTTCGAGGGCGTAGCCAGTTCAAAAAAGCCGACTGATTTTAAATTTGAAAAACTGAACTCAGTTTGACCTTTGTTATATGCTTTCTTCTTTCTTTCCAATAAATAAATCTCAAAGAAAAGCGGCCCGAAGTGTGGAAAATCATTCTTAATTACATTTTCCGAGGAAACGTGAGAGTTCTGTAATTTAAATAGTACAACTTAGTCATCAAAAATCTATAAATATTTCAATATATACGGCTGCGAGCCTCAGTTTACAAATAAATTGTCTCTTCGTCTATAGCAAACCTTTCTTTTCAAAATGTGGTATTAGTTTCTGTACAGCTTCTTTGTAGCGACTTCCGGAATAAGGCCTCTCAAGAGACTCTGAATTCAAAATACTTCCATCTTCCTTGAAGTTCTCCATATCGTAAGATTCTGTTGGTCCAGCCAAGACTGCAGTCAGTACGGTGCAAGCTGTCATTAGACCAAAGAAAGACTTATCTTCAAACTCCTTCTTCAGCTGTTCGATGGTGAATTGGTGATGTTCACAGCCAAGCACCTTGAGAGTGCCGAGCAGTTCCTTGTGGTACACCTCTAGCAAGTGGTCCGTGTATTCAGAACGGACATCTTCACTGGGGCTCGTGTACATGAAATATAGCAGATCCAGAGCGGGAGACGAGTAGCGTGACAGTTGAAAGTCGACAAATCTGACTTCCTCAGGCTTCTCTGTATCTGGACAATAGTGGAACATCATGTTGTTAACCCAGAAATCTCCATGATTCAGAACAGACAAAGAGCCATTTACTGGCTTTATAATCTCCACCATTCGATCCCAAATTGTCGGTATCATCCCCCGAAATTTATCACCATATTCTTCAAAACCAGACCACTTTTCCACTACATTTGCTAAAGCATTGAAGGATGATTCTGAATATTTTGACATTATGTCACGATTATTATCAGTGTACACGTCTTCTGCATAGTCATCCATACAGCTTGGGTTTTTGTCGTGCAGAGCCACAGACATGGCATGGAATCGAGCGAGACCCTTCAGCGCCAGTGTGCAATGAAGTAAATCCAAACGAGTTCGCCTATCGGCCATCCTGAAACCAAAACTCGTCAGATCTTCTAGAATCAGTGTGTGTGGTCTAGAGGTTTTGTAGCAAAATGGTACCAGAGGCTGGACTTTCCTTCCTTGGGAATTCTGTTGTAGAAGGCTGATCATTGCTGGTACGGTGACCTGGTATATTTTTGTCTCCTTTCCGAAAGTGTTACAGTGTTCCAGGAATTTTGCCATAAACTCTACTGCAGACAATCCTTTTATTATCAGACTAGTTGATTCTGTGGCATCGTCAATATTTCGACGTTTGAACTGTACGCAGACTCGATATACTGTACTGGTGTAGTTCTCACCCTTACCAACGGCTAACTGGACCCTAATATCGGCTACAATTACTCCGCCATATTCTTCTCTTGAACGAAGTGCATCTTCAATAAATGTTTCATCAAGCCACGACGGTCTCTCAACAGTTTCCATGATCCTCAAACACGCTCCACCTGGAAACTGAAACATATACCGAGTAACGATAACTGAGATTTACTGGGTAAACGGCAAGGACGAGAAACGGGTGCAGAATATAAAGCAGTATATACTATAAAGCATGTGATCTTTTAAATAATATAAATTTTAGCCTTAACCCTTTCCACGCTGAGTATCTCTTCCTCTCGGCACACTTCAACAGCAGTTTAGAATGCGTTCATATGCAGCCGAGAATCAACTGTTTACGGCAGTCATGACTGACCGCTGCAAGAGACGGCACAAACTTTCCGTGTTTAATAAGAACTTACAGAACTTACCCATTCTACTTTCCAGCATGCCTCGTAGAACGGCGAAGGGATTTTATGACACAATATTATTATTATTACCATTATTATTAGAGGGGTGAGTTTCCCCATGCATTTAGAACAGTTATTGGTCCATTGTTGTCCCCCTTTTCATTTCTACTGTCCCCATACCCTACCGGTACTGGTGCGTGCTATCAGCCCCGTTCAGCCAACGAGGTCGGCCGTCGGTACCTGATATTTTCTCCATCTACCAGAGGCATTGGAGACTACTTGGGCGGGAAATTGTTGCCTAATAATTTTGCTCAGAGGTCTCCTAGAGACATGAGGATCTTTTACATGCCGTAAATCTACGACACGGGACTTACGACACAATAAGTACTGAAACAGATAATTCGCTTCGCACTTACAGCACGTAACATCACAAAGTGTAACCGTGTAATGGTACTTGTTAAATGTTATGAAGATTATCTTCGCTTCCAGTTCGTGAATTTTATGTATGCACGCTACTAAAGGGTTAAAGGTAAAGCTATCCTTGTGACAGGCCGTGGAGGCCCATAGGGTTGTGAAATGTCGAGGCTCTCACATTTTCTAGACAATCGGCTCATAGATGGCGGTGAGGTTGTCAGCCTTACGCGCCGGCCGCCCTTTACCGCCAGGAAGCTAGTGCGGCTGGAAGGAATTGGTCAATTGAAAACAAAGACCTCATCGGGAATCGAACCGGCGATCTACCATGTTTTAGTATAGTGCCTCAACCAACTACTCTATCGCGTGTCCCTCACGCACGCGACTAGTAATGGAAAATAGCAACACCATAAGCAGAGCACGCATTGTTCCTGTTTTACGGTCCCCACCCATCTTCTAGACCTGAACATAACTCATCGGGCAGCCAGATAACGCACTGTGATGAATGCGGTATCGTGTGAAATAATGCTTTCTCAGATCTTTTATCTTTATGCCTCAATTCGTTATTCTTGCAAAGAGGTATAGAAATCAACAGCGAGTTTTCATAGTAGACTTCATCGTAAGGAAGAAAACTTGCTGACAACACATTCGGAGATTCATTGGAAAGTACCCAAGAATCAAGTCCCAACAAATTAATGCATAACGGAGACTGTCAAAGAACGTCGAACCGCAGGTACAGTTGGTGGCAAAATGAGCAAACCGAGAAGAATGCGTTAACTGGAGGAGCAGATTAAGACTTTCAGGCAAGGTTAGATGTGAGTATTTGAAAATTATTAAGACTCTCGCATAAAACCCGAATTTAAGCTTTGGATGTGAGCTAACAGCCACGGGGCTATGAAATTTCGGTCTACCTAACCTACATACTTGATCGTAAGCAATCACATTATGCGCCAGCAATTCACCTTTGGAGCTAGTTGCTACAAAATGTGAACAATGGATTCGTCGATTAACGCCTGACCGAGTAGAGACGCTCAGCGCCGCAGGTGGTGAAACAGAGTGCGCTGTTCTCTCTGGCCTCGCAGTAAACTGTCGTATCACTGACGCAGGTATCAATTACTGATCTCATTGGAACGCACTCTATTTTCTTCTATTGGAAAGTTAGTTTCTTATTGTAGGACGTTGCCCGTATCCAGTAATATAGCATCAGTTATAGGATGGCTAATGAATGTGGAGTAATTGGTAGAATGCGGGTTGCCAGAGGATATCAAGTACTCGGAGAAAACCAGCCCCGGTTCCACTTTCCCCCTCCAATTCTCATATTACGTGACCTACGATCGAACCCGGGCGACTTCGGCGGGCAGTTGTCTTACAGCTGTAAACCCATGAATAATATATTTGACTGTAAAGCTAGGACAGGAAGGTTTCTTTCGCCATTCTGCCCAAATAGGTAATAAAATGTGATTAGAGAGACTAGTGTCTTCTTTATAAGAGAGATATCTCATACGAGACTCGGATATTTTCAGCGTTATCAAATTTAGAGACTATTAACGTTTATTAGATCGAATAAAACGAACATCAACATACGTGCGAGACGCGTAAGAACCGGAGAGCAGTCCGCGTGATGGTTAAGAGGACGCTGTAGCATGTCGTCTTTTATACAAGGTGCGGCAATAAAGAAACCAGAGTCGGTATGAGTGTTTCCGGAGCCGGTGACTCGTGTTCAGTGCGGAGCCCAGGACACTGAACAATTTTATGAGGTGTGGGGGTTACACGCTTTATTATTTAGTAGCAGCAAGGGCCCGGGCCTTGCCCAGGTTAAGTTTGGGTCTCCATTTTGACCGAAGGCAGCACACCAAAATGGTAATATTACATGAACGTGTATAGAGTAACAGCAGACACGTCGCATTCCTGCAGATCTGCAATTGGAAGTCATGTTACTCAGGACAGCGGCAGTTTACCCATAGATATCTAAATTGATTAATTTTTTATGCTAATAGTAATTAATTTTTGAACATCTATAATTGCTATTTGTATTGAGCATCGATTTTCTTAATACTGTAACGGGTTTTATCAAGACGTTGCCAGGCAATAGCGCTGTAAACACGGTCAAACACGCAACAATAGATGAGACTGTGTTTCCTATGTCGTCCGCGCCGAGCAGAGGCAGAACGGGGTTATGCAACTTTTTCCTAAGTAACGGCTAGGTAAAAACACTTCGCGTAAGCGGTGACGTCATAAATAGAGGCGGTGTTTTCCGTGGAGTCTGTGCAGAGTGTTTATAAGGAAGGGAGTTATAGAATTCGTTCATGGCAGTTACGAGTCAGTCGTAAGCTAGAGGTGTGAGTCCAGAAGAATCAGTTCCGAGATTTCAGAGTGATTGAAGACAAAATAGCAAGAAGACTTCACGGTAATTTGAGGTGTTAATTTCTGAGGTGATATCCGTTGCTAGGATACGACTAGTGGAAACTGAGAATCCCAGTGCGTGTGCAGCGGTGGACTGGAAAGTGTGTAAATCAGCGATAGCGCTGTGTTAATTGCAATTAATAGAACTTGTAACCGAAGTGCTAATAAATCCAATCATCGAAACTGGAACCCCTTATTTTCGTCACGCGTACCCCCTACACATGACAATACCAAGTGGATACGATGACAATTTTTACCCACTAAGAAGCTCTGCGATAGGCATATTTAATCTGTCTCCCAGTCATACACACGTCACGTTCTTCAGGAAATGCAATTGGAAGTCACTTTATTCAAGGTAACGACAGATTACGCATGGAATTATATATTAGTTTTTATTATGCTTACAGAAGCTAATATTTAAATAACTATAATTTCTATTCGTATAGGGCTTAATTTTAAATACCAGGTTAATGTAAATAAAAAATAGTTAAATGCACTGCATCGTAATCTTACAGTTTCATCGTTCGCATTTCTATCACTAGTTGGCAGCACACATGCTATACCTAATGTCTGATGCTAGAGGACATTGAGATATGAAATAATCAGGATAATGTCGACATTTTTAGTCGGAGGCATTACAACACATCATTATTCTGATCTTCAGAACAATATTCTTAATTTTATTTCCGCACTTTCTTGGAATGTCACATTTATATATATATAAAATTTTATAAGTTACCTAAAAAGTAAGATGCATGATATAAACTCACTTCGTTCCCCCTTGTTACGTACTCATTATCGTCACCTTCTTGAATTCCGCACAGAAATATCGCTAACATGTAAATTCCCCAGTTGCAGCCCGTAAACACAAGGTATGTAAAAAAAACAGAAATGCGCACTCTCAGGCTGTTTTAGACATCACAGAGTCCGGTCTAGAAAACCGAGATTAACAGCCGTGGGGATTCGTTGCGCTGACCACAGCGACACCCTCTATCCTCTGAAGTTGGAACTAAATTCGCCGGCAAGCGGCGGTCGCTCGGTCGGTATAGTTCGCTTGCGGACTAAAATCACGGAGTTCTTTTTTTTTTTTCAGAGTCCTAAAATAGTGACAGCCACAGACAACAGGTAGTGTCTATCTTGTGTCGTGTGTTCCTCTGAGGATGCCATTCTGTACGAGCATGTTGAAACATGTAACAGTAACTTAATCTTAAACGACATCAATAACTTCGTTGTAATCGACTGTAATATGATATTAAACCACGTACATCAAGTTTCATCTTTCTGGGTTCCTTGGTTTTTGAGTGAGAGCGTTAACACACAAACCCACACACATTCTCGTTTATTTATTAGATAAATGATTAGACCTAATGAGGCCAGGGAGCGCAAAACACGTTGTCCCCCCCATCTGAAAGCCTTAGAGGCTCTACGCTCTCTCATGTCACACAAGTTGTAGACCCACCTCGGACGGGGCCTCATAAACTGTGTAGCCCTCGGGCCTGGTTTTCTTCGTCTATGCCTTTATCCGTCCCTGCCTCTCACGTGTTTCTGCGTCGCTGAAATTACGCCAATCTTACTGCAAAGTAATCTCTCTTGTAGTAAGTTAGAAAAAATGCGTTAATCATGTCTGCCAACATAAATACTCTCAGGCCTCAATAACACAAGGTGTATTGGATTCGTTACCGCACCATTTTTAATCTAAAGGGAATTCAGTATGTGGTTTGTGGTTTGCATTAAAAACTATGGATTCGGAGAACTGAGAGTTTTATTCCGTAACTTTTAATCGTAAAACCCTATTTATACAATGCGGTTTCATATAACAGAACGCATTCCTGTGTTTTAATGAGCGCGCAGAGGAACCTGAGATCCAGCGCAAATGCTCCGTTTAATTCATGAAAGGAAAATCGTACATTTACG